CAGTTTTTTTAAATGAATTTAAAATAAATACATTGCAGTAAATAAATCCAAATTACTTCCACTGTTTTGCCTCTAGGTCAATTGGATGCATTATTTTATCCATAGCAATTTGTTTCTTTTTGGCTTATTGATTCTTATTATACTGTCCTGACAATCTGCTTTTCTGAGTTCCCTGTCTTTCTGCTGTATCATTCTCTTGGCTAGCAATAGATACTTGGAGAAATTTCTGTTCTATGTATGAATAATTTCTATTACAATGGGATCTTAATCCTTTAGTGTAGTAATGGCACCACAATTCACAATTTAAAAAAAAGTGATTAATGATTATCATAATGAAGGCCATCATAATTACAAGATTGCCAATGCTCTATCATGCAACTCCAGGGGCATCAACTTTTCCTGTATTCTTTTCAAGACCCTACAGTGTGTACAGCTGAGAGGGGAAAAATATCACAATCGGGATTAAAATCTTAAGTGTTATCAGAAAACAAATTCATAATATATGGTGAAATGGTGAAAAAATCTCATAGCCTCACTTATTTAGAATAGCTGTGGTTGTATAGTATCATTAGCACCCTCAACCTGGTACAGTAATATTTCATTGCAGCAATGAATATTTGATCCCTCTTGCTGTTTGAAAGATCAAGCCAACACTGCCAATAACCAATATATTTTTTGCAGTGTTTGTATTCCTAGGGAACTAATTATTTCCATGTTTTATCTATTTAAATTATTAGCACCATGCACACTAAAAGTGACTAACAAGAGCCTCCATAGATTCTGTATATTTTGAAGTGGTATGACTTAGTTTGACATGAAGTGGTCTATAAATTTCATATTCTATATATAATAATAATAATAATAATATAACACTTTACAGTTTAGGTCTTGAAAAAACAATGTGGCTCTCTACTCATGTATTTTCACAGCAAGAAAAACTGTTATAGCTGGGGAAAATAATCACTGTACCTTGTTTGCTGTTGAGGATAGTTTTGGGTTTATATATTAAACGTATTAATTCACTGTCTGGCTTTCCTCCTACCTCCCTTATTTTTGTCAGTGGGGAGAAGGGAGTTAGATAAGGACAGTATAAGACTGCTGTGTTGTCCATTGTGTCAACTATGCAATTGAAAAGACAAAATACAAAAAAAAAAATAAATATCTAAAACGTATCTGACAACGAATTCAGCTTAAATGGGCAAACAGTGCTATAGTGCTATTACCCCAGCCTAACCGATAGCCCTGCAAATTCATGAGAGATCTCTAGAATCATTTCAAGGAAATGCCACTGCCAAGATCTCACTTTCAAATAGGGATAAAAGAGAAGGTTCTGAAAAAAAAGGACAAAAAAATGGAAAAGGGGAAAACTGCTGTATTTTCTTCAACGTCACCCTAATCTCCGTGGGTGTAAACGATGAGAAACTTGTGGGTATGACGTCACTGCTACATGCAACATAAATAAAGAAAAGAACCAAAATACTGAACAAAAATACTCTCTGCTAGAGAAAGACAGGTTGGACCGCACTCTGGGCTACAGGGAACCCATTTTTACTCACAATAGATCACTATCAGTGTGCAGTTAAAATATAGTAGGGGCCGTGTTCCAAGGCAGCAAGAGGAAAAATAAATCAAAAGTTTGTCAATTGTCATAGATTACAAGAAATTTCTTCAAACACATCAATGTACACATGATATGTCCCCTCTGGGGTTCAACCCCCATGGTTCACAGCAAGCACTGTCACTGGAAAAAATATATGCAGAATTAGACCACAGCTGTTGCACAGAAGGAAACAAACAGGAGGAGGAGGTCATCCACTTTAGAGTTTTCATCCCAACGTGGCTTCATTTTATCTAAATATATACATGTATTTGGCCCCTTGTGAAAAAACTAGTTAAATAGAATTGGAGAGAGACTGAAAGCATTCTGAAAATATATTAACAATCTGTGAATAAAATTTCCACACAACCATTGCTCTGTACAACGTGACATCAGCACTCATATGTTATTCAGGGATAGGGATGGGTAAGGAAAAGGAGGGATGGAAGAAACTGCAAAAAGAAAGCAAGGTTACTTTAATTATCCCTGGCCTTGTGGAAACGTACTGATCTGCCCTGAATTATTAATATTAGGCCTAACAGTTTTGGACAACTGGCTATGTAGGTCAGACTCATGTTTAGACCCCAACAATACCACAAGCTAATATTCAGACAGCATCTAAATTGATGTGCAACCTCAGATGCATTATTAAAGAATGTGGTTTTCGAGTGTCACAGGAAGCTGCATTAATTAAAGCCACAATAATTCGGATTTCCATGTAAAGAAGATATTCTTTCACATATACTTCACCTGAATGTGCCAATATTTTTACATAAAACCTTTCATCTTACACATTTTTCCACATTCAGCTGTCTCTAATTGCTATGTTGTTCACTAATTTATATATATTTATCATATAGGACTATATATATGCATGTGTGATTATTCACAATGTCTTTTGAAAATCACATTGACAGATTAGCTGTTGACAGAGCAGTTGACAGTTTCTTAATTCAGTAGGGAAAGAGTTTTCATAATTTATGCTTTGTTTTGGTTAGACTGCATTTTTAAGACCAACAATTTGTGTAGCTTATATATGGATAACATAGTGAAGATTTTCAAAAGTGATAGTGATTTGAAAGCTAAAACTAAGGCATCTTACTTGAATAATAGACTGCACTAAAGACTTACCTTTAAAAAAATAAATCCAATCCCATGAAAGGGATCTCAAGATCACCAAAAATCACTAATTACTGTTGATTTTTTTTTTCTGATTAACATTACTTTGAAAGCAAAACAATGATATTATTCCTAATAGTTGTGAACATTCCACTAAGTGGAAGCTATTCTGAAAGCTGTGCTGAAAGTTGCCAAATATCATGATGCCTTCAACTGTATGCCTGGGTGCGGGGGGGGGGGAGGTGGGAGGGAAGGGGAAAGGCAATGGGACAGATGGGGGATAAAGGTGAAACGACAACAAAAGAGAAATTTAAGATTTTGCTGTCTTTTTTTTTTTTTTTTTCTTTCTTCTCCTTTCTCACCTGACTGAGAGGACTCCCTCCTTTGTGCTCAGTGCTCACTGCAGCAGCTCTGACAGCCTCTTTTCTCAGCCTCAGCCTAACCACATCACCCCATCACTTTTCTTCTACATCTGGGCAACATCCCTTCACTTATTGAACTGATACACTGATACATGTGACCCTTCCTTCTGGGACATTTTCTAGTGTCACACACAGAAACTGTCACTCTCACCTGTCCTTGGCCTGCTGTTGAAAATAGAGCCATAGCATTGGCTGGGGGACAGGATCCTCTGTTTCCTTGCTGATTTCCTAGCACTGAGGTTACATGAATGTTCACACTCCTGTAGTTTATACTGTGTTTTCCAGCTTCTTCCAATATACAGATCTCCCATTAAAATGACAATCTTCAGGTTTTTTTTTTTTTTTTTTTTTTTTTTTTTTGTTTGTTTTTGTGTGTGTGTGTGGTCAGCATTGGACAAAATTTAACAGGTAACATATTTCTCCTTCTTAAGCACTGGGTAATTTGGAAAAAAAGATTGGCTTTGTGAGTTACAGGCACTCTAAAGCATCTGTAACTTGCTTTACCAGAACTTGCTCAGCACTCACACTGGCTTTGGCAGCAGTTCCAAGGTCACATTCTCACATGGATAAACTGTTCTTGAACAATATGTTAGGCAATTTTTTTTTTTTTTGAAATATGTTAGGCAATGCATACATTCCTTTCACATCAGGCACGCTTTCCATGTGCTTTGCTCTCCTTGTGGCTACTGGGCTAAAAATCCCATTTTCTGTCAGTTCCTCAGCTGTTTTCTCTCAATTATATTACTTTGTTCCACACTCCTATTTTCTGGGAGAAGAGTTTATTTAGAATTCATCAGTTTCAAATGGCCCTTAAAGGTAGATAAAGTCCATTTTATTTTATTTTTTTTCCTCCAAGAGAGTGCAATGATGATGAGGTGACTGGATCAATAAATAAGACAGTTTTGTTTGTTTCTTTGTTTTCCTCCTCCTAAAAGTACAGGTAGAATAGTTGTGATCAAACTCTTTTGAGATATTTCATTTTGACTAATCAGTGCTTTTGTAGTCTATGACCTTTTTCATAACAGAAAATCATGGAATGCACATATTCACACACCAGTTGAGAAAAGGATCCTTAAACCATTTAGATTTCAATAGTACAAATACGCATGGGTCAAACACAACTGTGTCCCAAACTAGGTTGTGACAATTTCTGCAAAACATCTTTTAAAAGTATGTATAGATAAAATACTAATGTCTACATAGTTATAAATATACAAAAGCAAAGTCTGATTTAAATTTCCAAGCTCAATTATTACTTCACACACAATTTTCCAAAGAATTTAAACAGCAGACTTAAGAACCTTACTAAAACAAATGTTAGCATTAGAGCTATGGAATCTATTGAGAGCAGATATTTAAGGCATCAATATTTTATTTCTTTCAGATAATCCCTCACTTCAACAGTAACAATAATTTATTTCAATAATAGTTTATTTCAACTGTTACAATATGAAATATTAATCCCTAGATTAATCTTTTGCAGAATTGTGTTCAGCAAGGAAAACAAAAGCTCTCTACAGAAAACTATTGAAATTACTGGATTACTGCATGGTATGAATGAGAGCCTCACTGTTAGCTCATTCTTAATTTAGAAGCCTCCAAATTAGATCTATCTTGGTTAAATTTAACTTTTGTCTGTTTTGGATGCTAATGTACTTTTTTATATGGAAACAGGTGTGACTGGCGTGAAATTTAATAAAAATATTTCCAAAACACAAATGCACTTATTATTTTGTTGTGAAATATTTTTTTTTATCTTTTCTATACCGCCGTGTAAAACATGTAAATGCATGTACAGATATTCTTCAAGGCTGAACTGTTCAAGGAAAGAAGAGGAAGGGAGTGATAGAAATATTACTTACGCCGTTTGCAGCCACATTTTTTTATCCTTTTGGGATCTGTGATGTCATCATGACAGGCCTTGCAGTAAAAAAATGCCCTAGAGAGACAGAATGGAAGAACTGACACATTTCTTAATACATACAAATGAAATTAGTCAATTAGTCCTGCATTTCCTCTTGTTGCAGTGCCAAATTAATGAAACATGCCAGCACTAATTTCCTTTAATCTCTGAAGTTTTAGACATTTAAAGTAAGAAATATTTGCTGCAAGACCATTACATTCAAACATAAGACTCCAAATTGTGTTTCTTTTCATGTACTTTTTAAAGTAATTTTTTAAAGTAATTGGGAGAAGGGATGATAATTGTGACACAGTGTATCAGTGCAGTTGTCTTTCATCTTAGAGAAGAGCATCCACTGAATTTTGCTGAGAGTGTGTGTGTGTGTATATATATATATATATATCAGTAAACATATATATAGGGAGAAAAATATTTAATGTATTCTCTGTTCTTATCAGATATACTTTTTTTTTCAAGACCATCTAGTATCCTGGTCTTATTTTTCAGCCCAGTCATAAGTAGGACATATTTTTATATAAAATAAGAGATTGTAATGTGATCAATGTGAAAACAGCAACAGACACACCATTTGCAAGAAATACAAAAAATAAATTAAAAGAAAGAAAATCCACCCAAAATTAGTTAATTTCTAAAGGAATAATAAATGAAAGAACTGGTGTTAGTTTAGATTAAGACTAGATTTTTTCTTTGATATTAGAGCAGAATCATACCAGTTTTGAAAAGTCAAGCAAGTCAAATAGGAAAGTCAAAATAAAAAAAAATGCAATTATTAAAGTGAACAGTCCAGGTCTCCACATAACCTTTTTTTTTTTTTTTTTTTTTTTACTGCTCATTGACTTAGGATGGTTGGATTGCTACAACACTAGAGAGGTCATTGAAACAGAAAAATCTACAGCCAAAAGCATAAAAATAAAAATAAACAATAAATACAGAGTCTCTGTGTAAACACAAACACAACTAGTTACTTAATTCACATAGTCACAAATTTATCTAAGGTATTTCACATCTCTGAATTACAGAAGATTTAGTGCAGGACAAAGATGGCAGGTACAGTATATGAGCTATTAACCAAAAAATACAAATTTAAATTTTCAACAAGACTTCATTAAATGCTATTAATGTTTCTGACATCAAGATACCATGCAAACTACTGATAGAAGACGTAAGTCTTCAATGTAGCAGACTTAGTTTCTCTGAGACTTCCAGAAAATTCACTCTTCCTAGCTGTTCTATTGTCTTAGTCTTTCCAAGACTCAAAACATAAAATGAAAGAACCTTTTCTGAGCATGTGCATACTTTGTTGCAGTAAGGTTCTGGCCTTCAAAATGTTCACCTTTCACAAAATAGACAACTACCACCTCTAAGCAAATGAGGATTAAATATTTTTCACACCATGAGTGTGTGAGCAACGACATAAGGAAAGAGAAGAAAACTGTCTCCAAATTCTATGTGTTTTGTTTGGTTGGTTGGTTGGTTTTTATATAATTTTTATTTTTTTTTCCACTTAAAACGTAGTTCCCAGTACCAAACAAGAATCAACTATCACAGATATTCCCTCATCCTGACCTGGCTTGGACTGAGGTTATTTCTACACCATGTTTCTAAAGTCCACTAAAGGACAAATGTCCTAAGGAGTTCCTCCACTTCAATGTGGAAAGAGCAAATGCCTGAAGTAACTGCTGTAATAAAATCATTCCTCTATATAATTGGGTTGAATTAAGTGTAATTCTGATGTTAGAACTAAAATGTAAGCAGATAAAGAAGGGTAAATATATAGCTCATGTTCTTTGTATGATATTTAAACACTCAAGATTTTACACGAACTTGTTTGCCTAGGTATAATTGTTTCTAATAAGAAACTATTATTCTAAAAATGCAAAAAATAATTCTAGCAAGATGAATAATTGCATATTTCATTGTTTGAATATATGACTGATAATTTAAAAATAGCCTAAAGGAGCTGCAATTTCTCCATTAATACATAACACAAACCCATAATAATTTGAATTTCAGGTATATAATTTGTTTATTTTCATCTTATTGACCTTAAGAAAAAATAAATATTCTTCCTGAAGAAAAAAAAAAAAATCTCGAACATTTTCCTGACTTTGATTCATAGCTCCAAAGGTTGAAATCAACAATTTTCATATTTAAAAATTTTTTTTTTTTTTAGTTGAAGCACATCTGATAATGATTTGTTTTGCATAGAACAGCTAAGGAATGTGTGAAGGGAGGTGGCATGTTTCTAAACAAAGCCTTCTGCTAAAAGCCATGCAGAAGTGGGAATTCCTATTCAGCTTGCTATTAGATAAAACATGCCTGATGAATGATGTGCAAATTTTCCCTAAACATATTAATAACAGTCAACCGGCCATAAAAATGATATGTCAGGTAATTTACAAACACCTAGTATCTCAATATAGGAGCATGTAGACTGATATTTAAACGCGAAAAAAATATTTTAAAAAGCGAAAGTGAAGAAAAGAACGCTGAAAGGAAGTGTGCCTGAGGCCACACTAGGTGCAAAGATGGTGCTTGAAAAGTGAGAGGACAGAGGCCTTGCTGTGCTCTTTTGTATTTTTCATCTAGACAAACACCATCTTAACTCTTCCAACAAAAATATAATTCAAGTTCTTAGTGATTTCACTATTTTGATGTTTTGACTTTCTTTAAATATTTATAACAAATATGCATTACTTAAATATTAATTTCATGTTACTTATACAAAGTTTAGGACTAAGTAAACATTATCGTTTAGTATTTTATCTTTTTTCAATCCTATGGATAGACATCAAATAATTATTTATTTTAAAAACTATTTTCTCACATTGCTATTTTATTCCTTCAAAGCATCTTATAATCATAATAGACCAGAGTTCATATGTTTTGTCCTAAACACAATACCATAAAACTCTTTTTAATCTAACATGAATCTAAAACATCCAAATACACTGAACCAGCGAAATTCTCTACATTATACTGTTCTAGTTTGATTTATGATTATGTGAACATAGAATATGTAGTTCCATCCAAGAAAAATGACAAGAACGTAAATATTATTATGCTAATGCAATTACTGAATAAATACAACAGCTTGCTCACATCAAATATCTGATAGTCTGTATATAAATAAGAACTACTCTAAACCTGAAACTTGGAAAAAACTGTCAACTCTCAGTTCTGTCTGAGAGTAACTCCAGAGACAAATTAACTTACAGAGAAACCAGATCAAAATATTTTACACTTTCCAGTAGGACTTTGAATTTTTTTTTTTCACATTTGTTGTAAAATTATTTCACTTCTTGATACTTAGCACTACAGTAAAAAAAAAAAAAAAAAAAAAAAAGGCATGCACACATCTCAAGACAAATTTGTTTCATGAATGTGTCAGTTCAATTTTCCCTGAGAATCTTCCAACATGTTACAATGAAAATTAGTTGAGGCGTTTATAAGAAAAACAAAACAAAACAAACAAAAAAACCTGTATATTTAAATTTTAAAACAAAAATGTGTGAATTACCTTTTTACTTCTTTGGCATCACTTGCAATGAAGAATCCTAAGGTACCTTCTTGAATCTTGACATGGTTTCCAGGATTGATTAATATGCTGCTCGATGAAACAAAAACAAAAACAACAACAACAACAACAAAATTACTTTTAACTGAATATTCAAAAATATCTTTATTTTATTCTATTATAGGGGACCCACTAGATAGGAAAGGCTGCCAGGAAATTTTAAGCCATTCTTCCTTGAAATTTCCAAGCAAATAACATTTTCCACATGCCATTGCTTTAACAAAAACATAAATTTGAGACATCCACATGCTTTTCCCCCAAATCACACCGTTCAAGTGTTTACATCTCTATTCATATGTTTTTGCATGAAATGCATACTGTGCAATATAACAAAGCCTCTCAGAAATAGGATGTGTGAAGCTGAGCTTTTCAGCTCTCTTGCTCTGCCATAAAAAGTGGTGAAAAATTCAAAATATCATGAAAAGAACCAGCAACCACCACTCGATAACAACACAAAAAGTCATTTATGAAGCTAAACCCTTCTATGCAAATTTTTGCCAATTTCTAGTGAAATAGAATTTTAATGGGACCCCTATCTGGACATACAATGTTATTGCTTAAAATAATAAATACACATACACTCAAGGGGAATGGTACAAGACAACCAGTCACGATAGCTGAAAAAACATAAAATGAATTAAAAAAAAAATTAAAACACTGCTATGCAGCCATGGAAGAACAAAAATAACCCAGCCACACCGACATCCTTAGCTAAATATGATGAAGGAAATTATAAACTGCTATAAAGAACTGAGGTACCCTATAATTCTTTATGAATTATTGTATTTTCATAAAGATTTAACAGTAGATATTACTTAAGGAAATTCACAAAACACCAAGTTAAATATGCATATGGAGATAGAGATAGACATAAGTATATTCTTCTATTACTATTGTGTAATATGACTAATTTTTTAACTTGATAAAATCAAATAAAATTTTCAAAAGTTCCCACTTTTTTTTTTCCTTTAAGGAAAAAAAAAAACAGTCTTTGTTAGTCAGTGTAGTAATGGCACACATGCAATCCAAAGTGTATAAAGACTACTAGCAATTCAAATGCCAGTATAAAGATACCTATAGAAAAACAGATAAAGCACATATCTGGATAGACATACATTACTTAAATTAAAAGATCACAAATCTTTGATGTTACTGGTAGGAGGAAAAATGGATCTCAGAAGATCTCATATTCAAAATAGTATTTATTTTCTATATATTAGTAATAAATATTTGTGACAAATAATATACCTGAAAGCTTTATATATTCACATGCTTATGTGTGATTACACACGCACAAAAGGCTGTATAAAAAGAATATTCAGGCTGCAAAATAAAACACTTAAGAATTAAAAGGGTGGTCATACAGACATAATTTAGCCCACATTATGCAGTCATTATGATAAGATCTTTAATTTAATATTCACAAGCTACATTTTTGTTACAGTCTGAGACTACATTCAGGAGCATCTTACTGCCATTACTCTAGATTTGGATTTGTGTAGTTTATCTTCCTTACGTACTACAGTGTTCATCAGAACAGCATACAAAAGACTCAAAGATATGTAATTTATTTTACTACAAAAATGAAGATATAATGCTATTCCATTCTACAGATGAGTGACTGATGACTCAATGGAGTCACTACGAGATAAACCATCTATTAATTTGGGATGCCTGCAGCCTATTTTTATTTTTTTGTTAGTATTTAGCATTGCGTATCTCCTTATACAGTTTCCAGGGACTTTTGCTGCAAGTAAAAATGCTTGGCATTTCCAAAAACCTAGCCTCTGGTTCCCAAAATAACAAACACTTAATCAGAGATCACCTGTAAAAATTTTGATTTAATTTATTAGCTCAGTCTCACACAGATTTTGTATGGCAGAGGCAGAAATAGAAATTAGTTTTCAAAGTAAGTGTTTACCAAGATACCTTTCATTTTCCTTCATTCACAGTTTCTATCTTTGCAACACTTTGAAAGGAGAGGAAAACTAGAGAAAATGGAATGTATCACCAGAGAAAGCAGGTTCACCTCCATAGCAAAAAAATGAAACGGGATGGTTTAAACACGTTCTATAATGCACACAGATAAATGGCAATGAATTAAGGTTGCATAGCCGAAGTTCACATCTGGTATTTCATTTCTCGGTGTTTTGGGCTTACTGGTTGGGCTTGCAAACCAAAACATACATTTAATGCAGTTTTAAAATGTAATAAAGCTGACAGAAAACAGAACAATCAATCAAACAAAAAATGAAAATAAAAAATGATTTCTTTATAGGAAATCAGTCCATTAAGTCACAAACAGGCTTGGAAAATTTACATTCCTTGCACAAACTTTTGTCACTTGAGTCAATGGAATGCTTATTGGCTGTTCCAGAGACAGCTTAGCAGGCCATCATTAAGGCAGATAAGACATACAGTCTAATACACCAATATACTCACAGAAAAAAATAGAAATAAAAATGGGAATGGTCAATCTCAAAAGCCTATGAGCCTAGGTAAAACACTTCTCAAGAACCATCAGGGAATCATTCTGCCAAAAAATCTCCAAATTGTTTCTACCAAAACATTCTATCTTGTCCTTTTAAAGTACATGCTTTCATCTTCAACCCTTCCTGTTCCCTGCCTCCTTATCCTTAATCTGCAGTTTTGCTCATAATTTAGCTATCTTCTACAGATGCTAGTCTCATTTGCTTCTTTCAAGTTGATCCTTCTAAAATATGCAATATATATGTATGTATTTATATACATATATATATATATAAAATACAGTTAGGTTTGGCTATTTTTCTTGGGTACCAATTAGTACTGCATTGTCAGAACACATTTTTTTTTTTTTTTTTTTTTTGGACCCTATTTCATTCTTTGACATTAATTGTGGCAGTATTACAGCCTTTCAGTGAAAACAGATGAACACACTTCTTTACATAGACACAACTTTTTTTCTTCCTTTTTTTTTTTTTTTCCCTCACAGAACTTAAAGCTTGACAACATAATGAGCAGCTCTTTTAAGAAGCAGTGAATGTAATCTCAAATCAGAAGGAACTGGCTTCATTTAAGTTGCAAACATACTGAGAGCATGATTTTGTATCTCAATGTTTTCTGAGACACATGAAATCAGTTCAGTGAAATCAGTGTATAGACTTTATTTTTGTCATAATTCATTCACATATACTTATTTTCACAAATACAGTGTATTTATAGCCACAAAATATAGATATGATCACAGTTAATGTAGTATGACCCCAGCAGCAAAATTGTCTGCTGGGAATAAAATATAATTTGCTCCATCACTGCTATTGACAATGAGTTACAGGAAAAACTCATAAAGCTTTTGTTTTATAGGGACACACTGATATTTAAACAGAGCAAATTCATGAACAATTTCTACTGAGTCTATACGGATTTATTAAATATGCTACTTATTAAAACACCAATCTCTCTTATGAGACCTGGAGTGTCATTAGCTAAAGCTATGCTTTGATAAGCACTCACTTTAATATGTACAGCAAGGGAAATGTTTTGAATTAAAAGACATAAGTAAAAGGAAAAAAAAAAAAAGGACAAAAAAAAATAATATAACAGACTTAAGAGTATACCAAGAAGAATGCATCCATCAGTTATTTAGAGATGCATGTATTTGTTGAAGCAGTTCATGAGAATGTGCATACATACGTCCTCCCAGATGAGAAGTATATGACAAAGGAAATTTGTGTTTTAAGAGGGAAAGCTTCAGCTAAATTCTCGTATTTATATTTTGCCAAGGCTGTGGGGCTTTGCAGGTATAGAAAAACACAGGAAAAGGAGAAAATGACAGAAATCCATTATGTTTAATGGGAAGATATATGGATAACCCATATTCATTCTGTGTCATGTATTGGAAAGCGTTATTTGAAATGACATCCCCAATTTTTCCAAATATGTATGTTTTCATCATATAACAATTTGATTTTCATGTCTGTGAAAAAAGCACACTAAAAGCAAGGAATAGCTAGTAGTTAAAATCTGAGATCTTAATTACATTTTACCCTTTTATAACATTTCTAGTTTAGGTTACCTCAGACACTAATCAAAGCAATAGCAATCTCAAAAAACTTTCACTCATAATTTCCTTAACAATTTTAGTCCCAGAAATACATTCCTCAAAAGAAACCTTTTCATGACAGGTTTGACATGATGTTGCCATATATATATATATATATACACACATATATAACCTTTTGCATTGCTTGCTCCTTCATACATGAAAATTTAGAATACATGGCAATTACAGCCATAAAAGTTGAACATTTATAAATCAAATATGATTTAATTTGATTAACAGTAATTTAATTTACTTTATCAGTATGAACTTAGGAAAAGTCATTTCCATTAGCTTATGATAAGACTAAAATTTGTTGGTAAGCCCCTTGTGGAGTGTAAAATGACATTTAGAAAACTCTGCTTTACACTTAGCTGTTATATAGCAAAGGTTAGTGCATTTGCTAAAGAAGATTCACCTGGTAACTATATGCAAGACTGTGCATCTAAGAGTAATGCTAATGTCATATATCAAAAATACGGAAATCATCTAATTGTACTCTCAGGAATCATGAATGATAAAAGCTATACAGTTGAAACTGGGTTTCCAGATGGACTGAAAGCATGTGAATCACAAATAGGAATTAGTGCATATTTAACAAGAAAAATTAAGAAAAAAAAATGAAAAAAAAAATAGAAAAACAGTAAAAGAATGCTTGGGGATGTTTTGTACTTAGTTCAATGGAAACTTAAGATATAATGGCTTTTCCACATGTTGGTGGAGAAAAGGTATCAAATAGTAACTGTGTTAATTCTGATTTATTTACTCACTAGATTATATACTATGATAATACTAGTTGCAGCTCTTTGATGCTTTGCTTAACTTCAATTACTGAAGAATATGTGAAGGAGAACCTGACGTAGTTTTGAACTGTAGGAGAGTTTGTGAACTGACACTAACAAAACGAATTCCTTTCAACTAATTGTATTTTACTAATAGCTGCTGCTGGGTGATATCTATTTGTTATATCTATATCTATTTGATATCTATACTTACAGATGTCATACAAGTTGGAAGAGAATTATGTTTCTTGTGTTGAATCACCCTTATAAAGTTTGATGGCTGATCTAAATGCATTTTATTAGGATTTATAAAATGTTACTTTTAATCAATTTTCAGTATTTAGTAGTACATGAAAATTATTTCCTGGAGCTTTCTACAATATTTAGCTCTCTATTATATGAGATGCATATGGGAAAAAAATAATAACCAATCAGCTTTAGAGTCTGAATCATAGTTACACTGTCTGCATTTATTGGCAAGCAGCTTGTGAAATGGCATGGCTCTGAAATTTTCAACTTGAAACTGAGCAGGCTTCCATTACTGCGCAAGTTGAAAATGAACATAACTTTGAACTCTTAATCTAGGCATAGCATTTCTATGGTAGAAGATTCTTAGATTTGTATAACCGTCAGTCTTTTCTGAGAAAAAAATTGAGGCATAATTTTAGCATGGAGGAACTGCAGTAAAGGTCTTAAAACTAAGCTGAAAAAGGCATGCTAAAATGCCCAGCAAGTACAGTGCAGAAAAAAATCAGGCAAGGGCAACAACATTTTAGAAGCACTATATGCAGGCTAAGACTTGGAATATATAAAGTGGTCAGTCAGCAGATACGTAGACTAGAAGAGTTGTCTTAAGACTTTTCCTTGTCATCAGCCTCTGTTATGTACTATTCTCATTTGTTCTTAATTTCAGTGATGAATTTTAGACAGCACTAAAAATAAGATTTATCTCATCTATCTTAGAATGGAAGCTGCTTTCAAGAACTGCCCCTGTCTTCCCCTATAAGCATGTAAGTCTAAATAACTAAAAGGAGATCGAACAGCGACCAATTGAACAGTTCATCCCTTCATCCTTGTCTAAAAAAAAAAAAAAAAAGAAAAAGAGAGAGAGAGAGAAATTTGTTGAATTAAATGAAATAGAAATGGCAAAGTTTGGACTAAACAAATGACAAAAGCTGTTACAATTCTGTTTTAAACCTTTTGGTAGCTGTACTGTACCATTCCCCATGTGACTAAAATATATTAATCAGGCAGGTATAGTATTAAATGTTATTAATACATTAACTAAACCAAGACTATTTGGTATTACTAACTAAAGCTACCACATTGTTAAACACATCTAGTATTTTTTACTGTTTCATGCCATGCCCAGTTGAAATGCACCATTATTAGTATAATGGCTTCTTAAAATATTCTATGTCATTCACACAACTACAGACTTAAAATTACAATATCAGTTTGAGGCAACATGTATTTCAGGGTATTTTTCTAAGTGGAGTGTGAGGGTGCACAAATCCTAAAATGGGAGTTGTGTGCATACCAGCTTCACACTGACTGTAACTTGTGAGTACTGCTTTTTTCTTCTGGGCTCTGTCATTGACATTAATTCAGACCCATATTGCTCTACACAGAAAAATCCAGTAAAACACTAAAAAGAATACAAGGCAAAAGACACAGGGCACATTACATGCTACAGTATATTAAGGCTTAATTACTACAAGCATATTAAAAGGTTGCTCCCAGGAGTTAAGTCCTTTACAATAGCAAAAAATAAGTTATGGTCTACAGGATGTGAGGCATTTTATTGGGGCATAATCCAAACTAGTTCAATGGTGTTGGTGAATTCAATATACTTTAAAGCAACTAAATTATTCTTTCTGGTTCCAGAAGTGATTATCAATACAATGAAGCAGCACAATATATTTTATTCTGGGAGCAAGCAACTTTACTTAGTACAACACTTTTTCATATTGCCCATCATGCCAGCGTTCACATGCCTTAACCACAAGATAATATATACTTAAAAGCAAGAAGCGAAGTAGAGGTGCAACAACTGCAGATCCTTGGAGATGCTAAGTGTTGCAGTAACTTCTCTGCAGTTGGATCATATCAATAATGCCAAACTGACAGGAAGCCACCTCTCTTTTCACACATCTACTCAGAAACCACAGGAGAATAAGACTAAAAAATAAATTTAACATACAGCACACGCAACAGAACAGACATGGAAAGTAAAATTTGGGGAGAATGACAAGGAGGGACATCAAAATGTCTGGACAATGAGAATGGGTCTCCAAAAAGCACCATCAACAGTCAGACTGCTGTGAGCAGTAAGAAGAAAAAAAAAGGCTGTAAGGGAAGAAGATGAGGAGAGGGAGGAGAGGAGATGGGACAATATGGAAGAGCATGCCTTCTTGATTTCATACAAATCAGTAGCAGCAGATAGCATGTAGAGAGCATAGAGAAGGGCTTTCAGCATGGTGTAGAAAAAGAAAATACAAAACATGCAATTCCAAAGGAAAAAATTGAGCTTAGAAACAAATTCAGTAACATCTTCATAAATGAGCTTAATAAATGTCATTAAAATGAATGTAACATATAGTACAAACTACCCATGGCACTTTCACTGAAACAGTACAATAACTTTAATGAGTACTGTATTATGAATAACTGGGCTCAAAACAGGGTCAGCAATGCAAAGAATCAGGCATTTGGCTGTTGTTAATGGAAGGTAAGACTACAAGAGCAAATGAACTACTGTACTGTCAGACGTATTTTAAACGGGGAAAAGGGCAGACTGGGGAAAGAAGGACATCAATGAAGGTGTGAATATGGAGACAATATGGCTGTGCAAGGGCTGGTAAAGACGAAAAATACACTGTTACAATGCAGTACAAATAAAATTAAAAAAAAGATGAGGGGAGATGTTAACAGTAACATCTGTTTTTCAAATATAACAGTCTGATACACCAATGACTGCATAAAGGGGAAAAAAATAATCCTAAAACGTATACTTTTTTATTTTGTTTTTCCTGCAAAGAAGTTAGTGCATGAATCAAAAGAACCAACGGAGAGACAAAATGCTATCCTGTCTCCTTTTTGAGATTGGGGGCTCATATGTAAATACACACACATATAGATATATATATATATACACACATAGACAGATGAATATATATATATGTATATATATGTGTGCATATACAGAGAAAGATAGACAAAGATGTTATCTTCCTGTGTTCTTGACAAGGAATTAGTCCTGAAGTTAGAAGGAGTGGAGGTAGGATTGAGGTTGGAAGGAAAGGTAACGAAGAGGGCATACCGCTTTCGGCTTCTGCGAACGACAAGAAAAAAATTGCAAATCAAACACTTTAATAAGAAATCAACTGACATCAAAGCAAAAGCAAAAAAACCCTTATATAAAAGTCTCCAAGGCTCAAAGGTTTTTCTGCTGAGAATGAGGACAAATATATGGATAGACAAAGAAAAAATTTAACAAGAGGAGTAAAAAAAGGGTGCAGGAGAGATGAATCTTTCCTTCTTGCTTACTTATGGGGAAAAATGAAGTGAAAATATTTGTAAAAGGGATTTCAGATGAGGAGTTTGAATGACTGTATTTTGAACTTTTGAAATTTTGCTATCTATTCATCAGGCTCTGCTCGGACACTTTCAGGTTGATATTCTCCATATTCCTTTAGCATTTTTTCTACAGCAGAAATAAAAGCTCCCTGCAAATGAACTATGAAAGAACATATTGTAAATCTAAAGTATTTGGCTTGCACAAGGGACAAAAAAAACAACCTTATTAAATGCTTACTGCATATATAGCAAGGATTATAATATTCCTGGGTAGATAGAGATGAAGGAATGGCTGACTCATATTGTGACCCAGAACTACTAAAATGCAGATCTGAGTAGCTTGTCAGAAACCCAGTAAGTTAAGTCACATTTTGAACAGAGAGGTTTCTCTGCTAATTGAACAGTAATTCAAACATTTTTAAATATATAAATATTAATATATCTAATCATAGCTATTTTCACTAATCATTAAGCTATTCTGATGAGAAACAGTTATATAAATAAAAAACATACTGTATTTTGCCTATTATTTGAAAATCATTTTATACATATCAAATCTAAGAATATTGCCTACATCAGGCTTTGCAAAATTCATTTTATTTCAAAGCACTTTAAAATTCTGTTTTTAAACAAGCATTTAAAATCTTTTTTTATATATAATTAACAATCAGTACTATCAAAACTTGTTATCAGATTTTGTTTACTGCTTTATGTACAGAGTTTTATGTACAGCTTTATGTGCTTTATGTTCAGAGCTGTGAAAAGAGGTGAAAAAAATGTGAGCAGGAAACTCAGATATTGCTAACTGATAATATTGACTGAAATAGAGTTCTGATGATTTCAAATTAATATTGATCTCAATTTTCCTATGGTAGAACTAACAGAATCTGGTTGTAAATCAGAAAGCTTTAGACAGGAGCACCCAGGAGACTCTAATAGAAAACAAACAAACAAACAAACAACAACAAAAAAAAAAACACGTAAGTTTGTAGGTAAATGGGTACTAGTGCTTTTCTACATTTACTGAAGACACCGAAAAACTCAGTGAAAAATCTGCCACTGACTTAAAGTGGTACTAGGATTTTTTCTTACTATTGAGGTGAACATTTAAAGAGGGGATTAGGAGGTCTAGGATGTGCTCGAATTACCATTTGTGAGAGCTGCATGCACTTCTTAATTCACTTTGCAGTTGCTTTAGCAGTGATTACAAAGTGATGAAGATATATAAAACTAATCATATATATAATTATATTTCTATATTAAATTTATAATATATTTTAATATATATTAAAACTAGTAACAAAAATCAAAGTGGTGGAAGATCTCATTGCTTAAGCAGAAAATGATATGAAACTTTTCTCTGGTCCTAGACCTACTTCAAATATAGGAGCAAATCATGTCTCATACTATGAGGGTGACAACTAGATAGCATTCTAAATTTGTATTTATAGATATAATTGTTGCTATAAATCATAAACTATGTAAACTATGGTTGCACACTGGAACAGGCTCCCCAGGGAAGTGGTCACTGCACCGAGCCTGACTGAATTTAAGAAGAGATTGGACTGTGCACTTAGTCACATGGTCTGAACTTTTGGGTAGACCTGTGTGGTGTCAAGAGTTGGACTTGATGATCCTTAAGGGTCCCTTCCAACTCAGGATATTCTATGATTCTATGATAAACTTCTCAATATTTTTACAAAATACGAACCTAAACTAAAAACATAAAATACATCAACACGTATCTATCAATCATTCTCCTGATAGAATGAAGATTGTCAATATTCAGTTTCCCTATCACATTTATGAATTATCAGTGAAAAACTGAAGATGTGAAGTAGGATAAAATATCTCCAAAGTTAACATCAATTAAAATAATTGGTGAATGATAAGTTTATCATGTTCAAAGCCAGCTTGCACTTGTAAACCATGTTATTCTACTTTTTATCTTAATTCCTCATCTTGTCATTTAAGAAGACACAAGGAAATGCAAGTATACCTAAAAAGCAAGAAATAAAAGTTTTGTTCTATTACCTTTCTGATTAGACTAACAGACTCCAGCTCAGAAAACGAGAAATATGTACTTAACATATTTGTGCTGAAGAACACAAGGACAAGTAGAAATGTAAAGATATGCTGCAGGTAGCAGTGTGATTTACCAAACAGTGACCATAACATTAGCACTGTTTTATGAAGTTAAAAGTTACTACTGTGGATCAGGGTTAATAAAATGATACGAGTATCACAGCCACTCTCCTCTTGTTATATACGTGTTTGCAAAATCCAGCTGTTAACATCCCTTCATTCCTGTAATCCAGCTGTTAACATCCCTTCATTCCTGTAATTCTAACATCCTGCTTCCTGTAATTCTTTGGCTCTTTTTTCTACTAACATTATGAGCTGTTACCCGTGTGGCCTTAAGTAAGCAGGAATATATGATTATATCACATTGTGTTACTTTTTGTGGGATCCTCTGCATCACCTTATGATTAAGAACTCAATCCAACTCCCACTGAAGTTAGTTCAAAGAATGATATGGAAGCCGTGAATTATATGTTATTACTGAAAAAGACTATAATATTAGCACTTAAGAAACTAAATGACAAGTGAAGTAACGACAACCTAAAGTTGGTTAGTAGTTCTCGGAGAGACCCAAAGGAAACCAAATACTTTATAAATATTTTAAATGCAAAATATGGTGAACAGTACCATTGCTGTTGATATTGCAGTTGTTTATTTTTTTGCTAGAAAATTTAGATTAAAATGCCCAGAGATAAAAGAATAATTACTCATTTGCTTTACATTAAGTAATGCAGAATGAGGTCAATGAATGGAAAAGTATTTATTTTAAGATGAGCCCATGGGAGCTGGAAACATTAAAAAAATATGAAAAATATTTCAAAAAATATTTCAAAAAAGGATTTTTTTAATCAGCGTAGTGCAAACATAAGTAATATCCAGTATCACATACACCACTTCACATACCACTTACCACATATAAAAGAATAAAGTAAAACCAAGTACAGGGCATGGAAATACTGTCATTAACAGTTGCAATATTAGATTTCTGTGTCAAATGTTTTACAGATACTATCATAGGTGTTATAGATATTAATACAGAAAAAAATAAAAAGACACATATAATAAAAAACATTAAATCAAAACCTCAGAAATCGTGGTATGAACTCAAATAACAGAATTGGTTCTTCTTCAAGAAGAAACAACTGCCCTCAAAGGGTTAGGTACTTGGTGGCCAATTACCTGCAAGATGGTGTAATACATATGATTCCAGATTTACTCCAGCACTTATGAATGTAACTTTTGACAGAAAAAATAAAATTCACCTCAGAGTCAGAATAATCAGATTTCTATTACATGCCCCTCTACATGTTGCAGACCACATTTATAACATTTTTGTTATACGATAATGAATGTTGTGTAAATGCACTGATGGACAAGTTGACAGGAACTTGACTCCAGTATACACTCAAATTCTTAAGGTTTGTTTTACTGAAGGTAGAAATGCCTCCTGTCTGTGAATTTGTACTAATTATAATCATGAAATTTCTTCATTTTGGATGAAGAAAGGTGTCAGTCAGTTGGAAATTTCACAGCTAAATTTATCTTCCAGTTACCTGATTGTATTAATATATACAGTCTTTGTTGGAATAGATACCATATAAATATTTATTCTATATTTCCATTTGTCCTGTATCCTATGTAGAGTGGTATTTCCAAACTTATTTACATGAAATTATTATTTTGATAAATACAAATAGCTGTAACAAACTGTGATATTACATCTGTTTTCCACTTTTCCATTTTCAGTAGAACATTGGACTTGTGATTATAGTTGATAGAGTATGAACAATAACAACAACAACACAACAACATTTAATAAAGTATATTTAAAACAAAATTAAAATTGCACTTCTGGAGGTGGGACACAACACTGTCCCTCCCACCTCCTACTAAATGTTTTGACTTTGATTTGGCAAAGGAAAAACAGGGCAGAAATACAAGCCTTTCAGTGCTATGTGAAATGGTGTAATGTGATGGCATGTTAATTATACTCCTAGAAGTTTCAAAAGCATAGGGATATCTATGTTAATTCTGAAAAATAAGCAGGCAAAATTCTTAACAGTGCATTCCAGAACTTCTGAATTTGTAGTCAAGGACATACCTGCTTTCCCGTTTTTCTGACTTGTATTCTATGGCTATCATTAAGAGCTTTAATTTCGCAAACACCAGTCTGCAGAAAGACAAGACAACAAGAGTCAGTTCTTTTTCATAACCAATATCATTTTTACAGGAATGTTTTGCTAAGATGTTTTCCCATTCTTCACTAAGATATACAAAGATCAAGTATTAGGCAGTTTCTTTTTTGAAGATAATAAACTCGTTTTTTTTTTTTCTTTAAAATATAAACTAACAGCTTTCTTGAGTTGTCACACAACTTAGCAACTTAGCATAAACAGCAGCACTATATTACTCAGTCTACTTAAGCAATAATTACAACGGTCATAATACAAAACATAAAATTGCACTTGAGTATAGCTGTAAATACATTAGGAATTTTTTTCAAATCTTTGCTAGAATTTAGTCATATGCTGATTGCAGTGCACACTCCTTAGAAAGTATGTAGAAACATACATTCACATACATTCAATGAGTCAATATTTGCTAGTTCCTGTCACAGAAGAAAAGAATAACTGGAATCTATTTCTGACCAGTATATGGGAAAATACACGCTGATACTGTAATATATATTTATTAACTGAAGCAAACTTTTCACACTTCTGAAAAGACAACTAATGTGACATTAGAGAGCACAGTAGGACCTTATAACCTCTGCTTTCATGTGCTGGCTCTTGCTGTCTCACAGGTGTGTCGAAGACTATTTAGCATGTATTCCTTGGCTGGGTTGGGGTGAAGGGGTTGTCCAGCCTTTTTTATTTGGGGGGTGGGAGGGAGAAGAGGAGGGGGTGCAGAGGAGAGGTTATGACAGAGCTTGGAGAAAAGTGTTAAAAAAAGATTTCACTGGCAGAGTCAGATAAGTCTGATTTTACTCACAGTTAGAAAATTGGAAGCTTTATTTAGAATCATGTTTATTAAGAGTCATAGAGGCTGGCTTGGCCATTACCTGAACTAAGCTCGGGTTTGTGGTATCTAAAATTTGACATATTTGCAATGCTGAATAAAATCCAGAGTTTGGGGAAACATTTAACAGCTATGGCCTGATCCAGCACCACTGCTTCAGAGAGGCAAAAATTGAAATGGGATTATTATATGTGAAATAATTAAATTTTACCAGTCCACAAATACAGAAGAGGTGCCTAACCCTCTGAGATAAGTTAAAGAGAATGACTCAAAGATAGAAGCAAGAACTTAACAGTGACAGACAGTCCAGGATGTCTGTGATAGTGGCTTAATTTGGAGGCACTCTCAGAGTAGAAACTGCTACTTCTATGAGTACAACCAGAAGAGAAATAATCTGTTCTGGAACTGTGAGAGAATGCAGACAAATAGTGAGTGTTGCCTACTTGCCTAACTTAGTTCTTTGACATGGAAATGTAGTCTATGACTTCTCTGATTAGCTCCCCAAACATGGTCTATTATAAAAAGATACAAAAAGTATCATGACTAACATGGGAATATATGCCACGGTTGTAGAACATGCAACAATACACTGCACAAATGAAGAGCAAATAAAATCTCTACAATTTTGCCTTTTGAAATGGAAGAGAAAATAAAACTGTGCTAAACTGTCGTATTTTGGTGGCCATAATAGGTATCATTGCAACCCTACACATATAAAGCTGTCATCTACAGAATGATTCTAGGACAAATTTAAAGATTTTTAGTCTCTAGAATTAAAGTTATAGCATGCCTTATGCTATGGTTATACACCGTATGCTTAAAATACTCCCTTTGCCTTACAGAATTTTTTTTTTTTTTTTCAGACATACATTTCTCTTGGTTAATACAGTTTGCAACCAGTTCCATAAAGCTCTGGATGCAACACTGCTTGCATGACTCCAGTACATCTGCTTCAGTTAATGAATAGTTTCCTTGGAATGGGACATAAGCCAAGACAGTGATGCTGACAAACACTATTCAAAGAATGGAAATAATTAGAAGAAACAATAGGACAAGTAAATAACTCAGTTTAAATCGATTGCTAGTTAATTTGTTCAACATTGAAAACATTTATGCTTTCATTTAGAATCACTGAATTCCAAATCTCTTCTGAAAATGGGCATTATAATGTTTGGAATACTTCCATGCTGTGATTTCTTTAATGTTTATTTTATTGGCTTCCTTCTGATGTAGCAACAACATTAGGACTGTAGCAGAGTGAGGTCTCCTACAGAAACCTTTGGTTTCACTTGAGAGCAGGCAAACGATTATGTCTATTAATACGTATTTCTACTTACTCACAAACTGCAGGGAAAGACAAACCCACAAAGGCACTAGACAGATATTCTGTATACATTTCATTTGCAACTCCTTCCAGATAGTATTTCTGCCACGTATCCTCCTCAATCTAAAAATAGAAAAAAAAAAAAAGAAAAAACAAAGAGAGAGAGAGAGAGAGAAAAACACAGATGTAGAGTTCTGAGTAAATTAAAAAAAAAAAAATCTTTAAAATTAATTAAAAACTTAAACATGTATAATTTTTTTTTTTAACAAATAAATTAACTGACCACTCAAATGCTATGGCATTTAGGTTTTTTGATTGTTTTGTTTTTTTTGTACCAGACAAGGAAAAAAAAAAAGAGTTCATAAAGACAGTAAATCCTATGTAAAAATAAAACACAGTTCTTGGCAGGCACATTCAAGCATGACATGAAACAAGGTGGTAGAGAGCTTAAGGAGAAAAAGCTACTAAATTTTCTGTTTTTGAAAATTCTCTAGCAAAATAGCTGCATTATATTTTTACTGAGTCTTAATGTTTGTTTTCACTTTTTTTTGGAAGTTTGTCAACACTCAAAAAGCATCATTTAAAATTCTAAATAATTGTTCATTAACAAGGTAATATGAGAAGCAGATCTACTCAAATGGTTTCAATATATAATTTAAGACTGTATTTATGTAGAAGAGTAGTTAGAAATGGAATTAATGAGAGAAATTGAGCTTTCAGAGATTTTCTATTTTTGAAATAAAGTATGTGATCTTACAGATCATTAAAATATTTGTTTACTCTGTGTCTAAAAGCTGTAGTTCGTTCTTTGCAATGAACATGAGGAAACATTTAGTTCCACTGCTTATGTAGCCCCATTATGGTCTTTGTCTTACAGAGCAGAAAGTGAGATGATACTGATTTTAGATATAGAGGAAAAAATAAATAAATACAGTAAGAAAGTATTCATTAGAGAAGAAAGTATTCATTTATTTATTTAAACTCCTGGTAGGAACTTGCAAAACTACCTCAAAGGTTGAAATACTAAATACCAACTGACCTAAGGACTTTGATAACTCTATTATTTCACAAATTGTCTTTGTCCAACATCTGCAGTGTTTCCCAAGCTCAGTCCACACTGTGCAAACAGATAACAATATCAAACCAATCCTGCAGGAAACAGAACTGTAGCCAGACCAAATGAGGTGGCAAAAAGATGCTTCAGGAACATCCATCCTTCCAAATTAGTGCAGGTAAGGCTCAATTGCTTTATGCTATACTGCCTAGCTTGATTATCTGAAGTCCCAGAGTCAGTGTAACTGCAAACAGCTAAAACAGCCTTTTTTTTTTTTTTTCCCACTACATAGAGAACTTTCAGCACATCAGAAATCTTTATCAAATAATTCATTTCAATACGATAAACAACTTATTACTGCTTCAAAATTTTGTGCAGCTACATTACTGCTCACCATGTCAAATTCCTTGGACAATATTCAGCCAACAATTTTTATGGTATGGAAGGACTTAGGGCAGCAAACCATAGGTTTGCATATTCTTTATGGTAAAACCATTACAGCATATTAGGAGAAGTCTGGGTTTTGTTATAAATATATATTACAAATATCAATATAATTGTACATCTCTGTCAGTATTCAAGGAAAGAAATTATGATGCGATGTAAGTGAGTTGGGTAACAGCATCCAAATGGATTTTTTAGCCACTCAGCGATAAATCAAATCAAGAAAAGAATCTTTAAGCAACAATTTATCTTTGCTTTGTCAGACTACAGCTGTTTTAAAACAACATTAAAGCAAGAGTTTCTTGCATTACATACAGGGCTTAACTGAAGTATCTCCACGTAAATCCAAAAAAGGATAAAAATTTAAGGTGGAAAAAATTAAAGCACATACTCTGATTGCCAGCCAGTTCAGAACTGTGACCGACAACATATTATATGTAGCATCCAGTAACTGGCTTTCTGGGTCTTAAATCGAAAAACAAACTTACACCTACATAAATGTTATTCAAGATTATTTTATTCCACATATTAATTTTGTTTTTCATTTAACTAGCTTATTTATACTAACTTATTTATACTTAAGAAGTTTTATTTCTTATTATCTTAATCTAAATTATGCTTCTAAACCAAGGTAAAATCAAAGGAAAATGGTAACTGTGTAACAATTTATAAAGTAAATACCTAATATTTTTTTAATTTTAAATTAAATATTTAGGAACTGGAAAATATTTTTGTTTTTAAAGTTTGTATAATATAGGAAAAAAAATTATATGAGCACAAGCTGTAAATGTAATCTGAATTTTAAAACCAAAAGCTTTAAATGGTAACCAAGACCTCTTCATTCCTTAAAAGTCCAAAAACAGATGTTTCTTGTTCCTTTGTATACTGTCCTTGTTTTGGCTAGGATAGAGTTATTTTCCTAGTAGCTTCCTAGGTACTTCATTTTGAATTTAGGATGGTAATAATATTGATAACATCTCGATGTTTTAGCTGTTACAGATAAGTACTTACATTAAGCCAAGGGCTTTCCCACCAGCAAGGAGGATGGGGGTGTGTAAGGAGCTGGGAGGGAACAAAACCAGGACAGATGACCAAACTTGTCAAAGGGATGTGACACCATGCTCAGAAATAAAAATGGAAGAGTTGGATGGGGGTCTGCCATTGTAGCGTCAGTCAGCTGGTGGTGAGCAACTGGGTGTACATCATTTATTTTGTGCATTCTTTTCTTTCTTGTTTTTCCTCTCTTCTGTTTCTTGAACTGTCCTTATCTCAACCCATGAATTTTAATAACCAACCTCCAACACTCCAATTCTCTTCCATCCTGGTGTGAGGGGAAGGGAGTAAGCAAATGGCTGTGAGGTGCTCAGATGCCTGCCAGGTTAAATCACAACACACACATTTGAATTTTCTAAAAGTTTTAAGCTATACTGCCATGTATACTGTCATATTCTTACTCTTGTCCCAAATCATGAAACTCACAAAACCAATAAAATCAGAAATATATAGAAATACAGTGATGTTCCTTTTCTTACTGCTTTCTTTAGCTGCTCTTTCAGAAAGCTGCCTTCATCCTGACTCCCCGCATTGCCTGTGAGTTCTCTAAGTGTGCACTTGACTTTGCCTCTTTCTATTCTCCACCATTCGTTACCTGACATCACAAGCAATTCCAACTGAAACGTTACTCTAGGCTAATGTCCCATATATCCTTCTTTCTATTTCCCTCTTAACTACTTTATCCAAACTGAAGTCTCAGCTTTCCTGACATTTAAGAAATGTCAGGAAATATGGACATTGGAGGTATAGACTCCAACTCAGAGGCTAGTTCTTACTTTACCACCCCATTGGCACTCTTCTTTTAGACAGTGTTGAACCACACCAGCACACAGCATTGTGCCTATCTTTCAAGCTAATAAAGCAGGTATTTTCTTTGCCTTCTTCAACCCAGTCATTATATGCTTAGACCATTCAAATCTTGTTTTCCCACATATCAGTATAATCTGTGAAAAAATGTCTAACATGTCAGAAAAAAAATAATTAATCACCTCTAAAAGCCATAAAAGACTGATTCATTGTCCTAGCATTTTGTGCCTATCCAGTACCACAAGTGTGAAGGATACAGTAGTCATTTGTGCTAAGCTCACTGACTAAAATCAGGATGATATTACCAGGAAATAAAGCAACAGTCCCATTGAAAGGATTCAGAAAAGGAATTACATTTGAGCCTCTGGGGATGCAAAAGCACATGTCAGGAGTGTAGAGTCCTAGCAACATAAATAAGACCTACAGCTGTGCTGTCTAACTTAAAGATCCATTTTCATACCATGTCCACACAGCTTGTACTGAAATGCTGTAATTATGATGAGCTTTTTAAAATTTTACAACTTAAATGCATCTCTTCCCTGACCTACAGCTCATTTAAACCACTTGAACTAATCTCTACTGAATGTGAAATGCTTAGGATCATTGTCCGAACAGCACAAAGTAAAAGGAAACTGCAGTGTGTTTGACATGGTCATTCAGGTGAGGGAAATAAAATTAAGATATTATTATATAATATTATTTAATTAAACAAAATTTATTAGATCGGTATATTGTATTATTAAATATTATTACACTTATTTTATGTATTATTTTAGATTATAATTTTCATTGGAATTTAGTGTGACATAAGTCTCTGTTGCACAATTTTCCATTATTAAAAAAAAAATATTATACTGAAACAGCTATTTTACCAGGACTTGTACAGTATTTTATGTATCTTTTATCCTACAGACTTGGTACTAATTTGGGATTCACCAGTCTTTTCCTAATGGTAAACTATTCAAAAGGCAAACTTTCAAAGGAACTTTCTAAAGAACAGAATAATTACAAACTTTTTAATAACCCAGTAAAATATCAGTTACAAAGAAATAATTTTTTAAAATTTTCTTCTGCTGCTGACAGGCTGCCGGGTAATGAGTTACTTCAGTTCTGGAAAAGTAAACAAACAACTACAAGAGTAAGTTACAATATGGAGATGATCTAAATCATATACTCCCTGACAAGTGGGCTGCAAACAATCAAAAGAAATTTCTTCCACAGAAATTGTTTCACCATTCGGAGACCATGTGTGATGCTAAAAGGGATTTGCATTGTGTTATTCTCCACCACACACAGAGAAGTCATATCACATTTTTTATAACCCTTTTATTTATGTGAAGCTTGCAAACGTTGCTGATCAGAAGTTCTTTATATATGGAAAACAGATAAAGTGCCGACTGAATAAAAAATGGAGTAACGACAGTAAGAACATGTTTGTGACAAGCTCTATTTTGTTGCTTTTTCTTAGATTGACACCACCTGGGGTTGGAAAAAATATACAAGGAGAAAAAGGATAAGCATAAAGATAGCATAAAGAAAACCAGAGCAAGGTTTTCTACTCCATTTCTCCTTTCTACTTTCTTTCCTGGCTTTCATTTCTTTAAGCCACTAGGTTTGATTTGAAGGAAGGAGCTGCAGGACTGAAAAACAAAACAAACTTATTTACATAGTAGCGATCAAGATTCATAAATTCACCTTCCTGTAGTGATTGGAATGTTGAAGATATGTTCTGTTAGGATACTACAAAATGTTGATTAATGACTTT